TATTGAATACCTATTAATATGATCTTTTATCAAGGTTACATATATTCAAATTACAATACTCATCTATTTGCCAATAACCTAAACATGTTCTCCTCTACACTACTTCCATACAAGTATGGTGTCAACATCACAAAAAATAATTATGAAGACTTTATCCTTTCTGATCTACTAAGTAACAAAAGCATTCTAGAAATATTTGAACTTCTAGCACTTAGAAACAAAGATGAGAATGAATGGATCCTAGATTTTAGTACTTTAAAGCACTTTAACAGAGACTACTATGTTTTTGATTAAATAGATCACTTCTATATCAATACTATTATATTTACTAGAAAAAATGTATATGTAATTGCAATACAAAAATTTGTTCATTTTTTTATGTCCACCAGAGAAATCAAGATTCTTTAAAAAAAATTGCTATATCCTTAGTCTAAAAAGAAATGTATAGTCTACTAGGCAAATAACAAATGTTAGCAACTATTGTATCTTTGGTTCTAAATTTTTTTTATCATTATTTCAGCACATAAACTATATTGGATTGTAAAAAAAGAAAAAGAGATCCTAACAATTGATTATACAAGTTGGAACAACTAAGTATGGACAACTTTGATACTAATAATAGATCAATAAAACTTCCTCGATTAAATGCAGAACTTCATAAACTAGAAATGTTTTAAAAGATTGCTAATTCTCTTACCTACCTTTAGCATCTATATCTAGAACACTTAAACTATAAGAGTTTGAAACATCTACAAATACATCATTTTATTTTAGATTTTCTTCTTCTACTTCTATATTTAGCTCATTCATGTTAGTTTATTATATTTATTAATGATTATTTTAGAAAATTTTATATCTACTTTATAATTACTAAAGTCAATCTTTTGAAATATTCTAGAAATTCTACGTATTGGTTGAAAAAAAACTTCTTTTCACATTCTCTTGCTTTATTTGGATTGGAAAAGAAAATTCATGTCATGAGGATTTATCAAATACCTACAAGACAATGGAATATTTTTTCAACTCTTTTTACTTATATTCTTTACTAAAACAGGATCTCTAAAATAAAAAAAAAAAATATGACAACACTAAACAAAGTAAGAACCATGATGATTAGTAAGAGCATATCTTTATTCTTCTAAATAGAAGCTATCCACATTACAATTCAACTTATCAATTGCAATTCTAGTCAAGCCAACTAAGGTATTCTTTTAGACTATCTCTTCTATGATACAAAACCATACATAGGTTCAATAAAAGTCATTAGTAGGAGTGTAATTTTTTATAAATCTACTTTTATTATCTATTAGAGATAATATAATCCATAAACTTAAGTAAATGTTGATAAAATTTATATATATATTTTTATAAATGATAATCTTTATGATTTTTAAATATAATTTCTATAATAATTTTTTGATGATTATAAAATAAACCTTATATATCACCTATGAAATATCAATGATATAAATATATTAAAAATTCAAAAAGATAATATATTCATGTATCATTGAAGAAAGAAGAATGTGATGAAAAAAGAGATAATTAAAAGATAGAAAAGTTTTGAAATGATTATTTTCAAATATACAAAGACTAAAGAGTTTTAAATCAAGATTGGAATACACAAAAATTATTGACAAGATTGAGGATGGTCTTGTGGAAGCTTCTTAGGCATTGCAAGGGTGGCGTCTAAAGTGCCAAGTTGAATGTTGCTTGTAATACAAAGTTTTAAAAGTAAAAAACTTATGAATTAAGTTTTTTAAACTAAGTAGCATATCAATACACATCTAAATATCTAATCTACATATAAGAAATTTCTCAAAAGTTTCTAAAAATAAATAACATGATTCTACTAATTTCTATTTTTTACTATTTAATTTTTTTTACTTAAATTACATATACATGTGTTATATCTACAACTTCTTTGGCTTAAAATATTTTAAAGATAATTTATTAAGTTATGTATTCATATATATATATATATATATATACATAAAATTTTATTAATTTTAAAATCTTTTTTTTTTCTAAAAATATTTATACAAACAAAAACTAAAGAAGTAATTTCTACAAAAACATTATATATATAATTCTAAGGTATGTTTTAAATTTAAATATATATATATATATAAATTTTTTAAATTTAAATATATATATATATAAAAAATTTTTAAATTTAAATATATATATATATATATAAATTTTTTAAATTTAAATATATAAATATATATATATATTTTTTAAAAAAAAAATTTAAATATATATATATATATATATATATATATATATATATTTTTAAAAAAAAAATTAAATATATATATATATATATATATATATAAACTACCTTAGAACTACATACATGGTATATATATTTAAGCTCTATCTAAGGTATGTTATAAATTTTTATAAAATAATTCTAAAACTTTTAGATTATGTAGATAAACAGATATTTATAAATTTTACTACATCGAACGATTATAAAACATGTGGATTGAAGAATTTACATTTCTCAGAAGCATTTATTTAATTATATATATATATATATATAGAGAGAGAGAGAGAGAGAGAGAGAGAGAGAGAGATATAGATATATATATATATAGAGAGAGAGAGAGAGATATAGATATATATATATATATATATACATAAATAAATCAGTTTTTATTTTGATTAAATAATTTTTAAAATTTTACTTGTTTGAACTTTTATATTAAAATCATTAGAATTTTAATGATATTAAATTTTAAAATATTTGATGTATGAATATTTAAATTTTTATTATTTTACATAAAAAATATTCTAAATCATTTATTTATGAACATAATATTTATTGTTAGATACAGAATAGGGTCAGAATTTGGATGCTTAAAATATATGCTATATAACACTATCTGAATGCATTGGATTCAGTGTATGATATCATACACTGAATCCAATGGTGTATATGTGACTTGTGTTGATTCTTGGTTTATTCTATTTAATTACAATACTTGCTAATACATGACATAGATTATAAAACTGATATGTATAGATAAATTTCCAAAATCGTATTTTTTATGGTTTATAAATGAACAAAATAACTATTTTTAGTAATATTTTTTTAAAAAATCACATTTTGCAGAGATTTCATTTCCTAAATTTTTCTTTTTCTTTTTCGATTTTTGGAATCGATTTTATGATGGGAACATTAAAGTTATAATACATTTCAAAAAAAAAAATCATTTGTGAGGGAGTATCTTTACTTTTATAAGTATTCTCTAAACAAGTTCAAAACTTCGATTCTGTATTTGTTGCAAGAAAGAATTCAGTTTTAAACTTCTGCTTACTTTCTTGAATTTTGGGTTTCAAAATTAATTAGATTCCCAGCTTTTTAAACTTTTGAAATCTTTTATATTGATAATCAAGGAAGTTTCAAAATTCTGGATTTTATAGCAATTCATGTTTCAACAAGGTGTGCAGTTTACATTTACCATGTTCATTGAAAACTTGCTCTGTAAAATACATGTGAATTTTGATTTCCAGGTTTTTAGTTATATCATACATTGATGAAGATTTCTATAGTTTTTCTAGTACTTATTTGTAATTGTGAGTGTGTATGTATGTGTATATATATATTTCATCAAATAATGTTTGAATTTTTTTTTTATTAGTTTGCAATGTTAGAAATACTACTGGAATGAATATATATATATATATATATATATATATAAACTTATATACATGTATTGAATTGCAATATTAGAGGAAGAAAAAAGAAAAAGAAAAAGAAATAAATAACAACTAGTTGAAAGATGTAGCTAGATTTAATACCCACACGTCCTTTGAAAAAAAATTTTACAGATAAGAAATTTAGAATATGAAAGAAGAGGTTTCTACAAATGAGACTATCAAACTAAAATTGAAAGGGCATTCCTTCACAATCCTTTTTTTTTTTTTTTTTTTTTTTTTGGAAAAGTATATATATGTATATGTATGTATATGTATATATATCCACATCAATGCACTCCTAAAAAAATATTAGGGTAAACACCCATGACTTGAAACTTTTTTGTGTACTTTGTACTTGACATTCAAAACCATGTACTAACATAACATGGGGAATAGTTGACTTTTTCTATAATACTTTGTCAAAAGGATGACTACTTAGTCATTTTTCAAAGAATTGACTTCACATTTTCCCTCGTGGACTTCCACTTTTTAATTAAAACTCCCATATTTGTTGGTTTTGTTATATTTATTTATTCATTTATTCATGATGTTTGTAATGTATTTGCAAAAAAGAAGTGAAGGAAAAACTCATTCAACTAAGAGGCAAGTAGAACAACCTAGAACCCAATGTTATAAACTCTAGAGGGTAGAAGCTTCCAAAACTTGGTCATATTTTTAGTAAAAACGTCAATATTCATCCACCTAGTTATAAGTACATCCACCATCCACGCACTCATCCACAATCCGCTCGTTCACATATGCATCCATCAATCCATTCATCCACCCATTAATCTATCCGTCCATCTAGATGAGAACGTGGATGTAGTTACAGTGTTGCTTCGGCGATCATGAGCATGGAAAATGGCAGCGTATCGACGTCGCAAAACGACGCCGTGACACAATTAGAAATAGGAGTTTCTGCGATCTGTCTGGCATTGGGTTCATCCACTACAACACAATACAAAAATGAGGGGAAAGTCTCCGCTTCAGGCCAGTGGATGAAGCTCAAATTGCCACAAAAGGAGAGCAAAAACAACAATAGAGATAGTAAAAGGCAGAATCCTGTGCCTGGAACCTGTGAGTCGCTAAAAACATGTCAGCTAATGAAAAGGTGCAGTTCCCGGGAATCGGGATCCATCTGCGGTGCCAAGCGTTCAGCATCGCGGCAATCAAGACTTGTTGCGTTGAGATGTGGTGCAGATCCGGCTTCGATTCCCCGACGAGGCTTCGCGGATGATGCTGCATGGAATGTGACCTTAGTGGTTGGGTGATTCGCTGGAGCTTCTCGTGGTGGCACTGGTTCGTGGATGGGGTTGTTAGCGGCACAGTTCATTGCCAGTCGCCCTGAATCGGCAACTGGAGCAAGTGGTCTCTGGCTGCTGGAAGCGGTATATAGGCAAGTCAAAAGGGCCTGTGCCAAACGGGGCTCAAAATTTAGGAGTGGATACGTGTTTGTGGTCTCTCGACGTACCACTGGTTCTCTCAACGGAGGACGGAACATGGCTATCGTCCGGAGCGTAGTGACGCTTCTGTGTGTTTGCAGTGCCTTGCTAGTACTGCTCCAGGCGGATGTCAGCGCTGCGCACGATGCGGAGCAGAAGCAGCAAACTGTAGTAGTTGGTAATTTTGTGTTACAGAAGCGCATGCAAACATGAAATAGACTTTAGGTTCTGATTTTGCTGCGGCTAGTTTCCCCTGAGTCGAGGATGTTCTTGTTTTCAGTGGCACCAGTTAGAGCATATTTCTTGTGTTGTTCTCGGCTTGAATTGGCTGCGGCTGTTGCCACTGATTCGATTAGCTTGGATGATATGTGATTGTGAGAACGATGGAATCTAAAACATTTAGAGAATGCGACAATGTTTTCAATAGGATCTAGTTGGTATCTCTGAAGAACTGTAAACATGATTTTGTGTTAGCCTCATGTAATCTTTGTACTGAATTGTGTTAAATGAACTCTCTTCGTGCGCAGGCTCAACCCAAACATACTACATTCGAGGTGGCATGGTAAGCCTTCGATGTACCAAAAGTCATCAATGATATTAGGTTACCTCAATGTAAATTGTGAACTCGAAGGTGCTTTGTAGATTACAGTTAATTGTCATTTGTTCATGATAGTGTATGGTTTTCTTTCAAATTGAAACAACGCTTTGAGCCTTTATGTGAGCAGAATTTTCGAGCCGGGAACGGAGTTAATGTGCTGCCTGAGGAAGAATTCGTACGTCGAGAATTAGCAACAGTTGATAACTACGACGACAACGGCGGAGGCGTAGCGAACTGCAACACAGCGCAACCCCAGGGGTGTCCTTGACGATGGTAGGAGCTGCCGAAGATCGGCACCGCGACTCAGTCTGTGATGCCTTTTGACTTGGATGTACTCTCATGGAGAAGCGAGTTTTTATTGTCTTGTGTGTAAAATGCATTGGCAAGTGTAGTTCGACAATGTCGATTCTGTGAGAGGGTTGTCTCAAGATGTACAAGATCCTGCCGGATCATGTCTTACCACCCTGACTGATGCGAAGTGACCTATTGATGGGGGCACTGGTGCTTGATATTTCAATTTGTACATAAAGTCACATGTCCTTTTCACAGACAGGTTGTTTGAATAAAGTATTGTATCTAGGCTTGCTTGGTCATGATTATCGTCTCTAGATTGTGTAGTAAATTTTGGCTTAACGATTGGATGTGTCAAACAATGTCCTGAATGGTATTACTTGAGACTTTTTCCAAGTGTTTACTGTATCAGGGTGGGACACGTTCACCATCCTTCAGAATGAATAATTGGCACCAAGTTTGTTTGAATTAACTTTTCGAGCCCGTGAAAAAGGTTGAGTGCTTGAGATGTAATGTCAATTTGACGGATGGATCTTAGCCCACGTGCCCACAGTGCGTGCTGCTATCCACGTATTCCAAAAGATGACAGAGAAGGGCGCTGACTTTGGTACCCTATCCTGAGCATGGTGATCCTTGTTCCCTCGTAAATGCTTTGAAGAACTCTTTCCGTCATCTACTCCTCATGCCTCACGAAAATCACAGAGAAATAGGAAGAGACGAAATCATCTAATTATGGGCAGTTTGCTGGTTACTTCGTTGGCCTTTGAGTCCATCACTTTAGAACTATTTGAACTCGTCTGTCAGCACTCAATTGCTACGTTCATGGGCCCAAGGGCGGCCGAGTAAATGATGAGAATTAAGAAGTTCCATTTATGAACCCTTGTGGTGTACTGTTAACCAATAAAGGCAGAGCCAATTGAACGACATTATGTCATTGGTACTAAAAATGGCTGTGTGTCCACTGTTTGCTGAAGTCAAACAAACAAGCATGCAAAGTTTTGACAATGCACCCCTTGTTCCCACACCATGATGCCACATTGACGAAAAATCCAACTCCTTGATTGTACACGTACACCCCAACCATGCAAATGCTGACACATTTTCTAGCAGTAGTTTCTTACTTGACAATTTTTTTTAGACGTTTTAGAAAGTAAGATTTATATGCATTGGTTTATTAGTGAAGGGTAAAAATAATTGCTTTAATAAGAAGACTCTGAGTTCTATTCATGCTTTTACAGTATTTAATTTAAAAAATTACGGAATTACAAAAAAAATAAATGGTTTGAATGCAATTTGAGTTGTTCTCATGTATGCTCAAAAAGCCCTCCTGCAACAAACCTTAAGAGTGGATGGATATTTCCTCAGAAGACGCCTAATTATATGACACCCTCTCCGTTACAAGGACATGGGATGTTCTGTAACAACCCATAGCTTTTGTTTCGTGAATGTTAGTCCATCAACCCTCTTTAAGTAACGCCACAAATAACACATGACTGGGTAAATAATTAAAAGACAAAATCTCCTGAGATCGAGATAGAATTTCTACATTCACGATGAATGTTGATCAGTTGCAGTTTCAGGTGAGTTATGACCTTGGTGTGGAGTTTGTTGAAGGGTTGGATCAATATCAATTCCACACCCACAGATAGAGGAATCTGCCACTGCCTCATCTATGAAATCCCGGGATTGAATCATACCAGTTATTTAGATCCTACAGATCGTTGAGAACCTAGGGAAGCAGCTCTAAAGCAGTTTTCCCTTGAAAGAGAGAAAAGCTGAAAATTCCAACATTTGATTGCACGTTGACTCCGATCATATCTGAAGTGATGTTTCTGCGAAGGCATATGCGTCCGTCCTCGCATTGTGGCGCACATCTTCCTGGACCGCAACAGCCAGTTGAAGGATGCTGGCATGAAGCTTCACAATGAAGCAAAATAAAAGGCAAGGTTCTCAGGGTCGTGTAAAGTTACCGATTAGAATGACAGTCGATTGATGACTTGGAAGTAATCGATGGCTGACTTGGACCTCGACTAGATTATCATATAATACTTAATCCGATGGTCAGGGAATTGTACCGCACCATGGAGTCATCCATACTGTAATCCTTCCTTCTGTCTGAGTTAGTTGCTAATAAACTGAACATGGGGGAAGTACTCGATTTTTGTTATGAGTCACTGTAGATCATCGCGGATGTTCTTTATGACACACCTCAGTGGCATTGTCTAGATGCACATTTAAGAGGAGCTGTTGGGAATTTTATTCTATATTGTTCACCGCTAGCTCATAGAATACTTTTCTGTGTCAATTGTGGCTTCTCAATGTTGTTGTCTTTTTTTTAAAGTGTGGCTATGTCTTCTGACCAATAAATTGATTAAATGAAAAAGAAAAAGAAAAACCTTTTCGGATTCTTTTTGTTACCTTCAACAGCTGTTGTAAAACTAGGTTTAGAATAAAACGATACCTGGGTAGCGTGTGCTGGATCTTTGGCTGCATTTGATAAATTAATGAGCTATCGGATGTTGACCTATTAAGATCAGATTTGATGCTGTATTGCATGGGTCCCATCTGTGGCAGAAGTTGATGAGGAGAGTCTGCAGCATCGCGGCACTATTTATAGAATCTCGAATGCTGGGCATTCGATCAGCATAAAGATGCTGGGAATAATGGGACTTTCACACGAAAATTTCAAGATGAGACTTGCAAGTAGCCTACTGCGATGACTTTGCTTTGGAATATTTGCTTACTGTCACGAAGACCAAAACACGAACACAAGGAAATTATTACAACATTCAATACTTAAAAGCGATTTTTAGAGCTCGAGTAGTCAGACATGACGACTATTCTTTTTTATGAAATGCGACGTGATCATGCTAAATTCGGAAAAACTTCGCACCACGTCACCGGTGGCATGTAGAACCGAGACGGCTGTGTGAAAAGATGTCTGCCCGAGAGACTACCGTTTTAATCATCCAAGGTTCAAACGATCAAGTCCACACTGAAACACCAAATGCTCAAACTTCAGTGTATGACGGAAATTAGTAGTAAAATTGTTGTGAGTCAATTAAAGAAACATTAAATTTCTCGCTGAGTGCTTCATTGCACTAACTTGATTCCAAACAAGGAACCAGGTAGTAGTTTCCAAACGAATTGATTAACTCTTTGCTTGTGAATTCTAGCACACTACTTGCGCCAGATCAGGAGTTTCAGTGTTCAAATGAGCTGTATCCAGTTTATGGGGCTAAATCTCAACTATCTCATTCAGTAACCAGTTTTGCTTCGTTAGCAAGGCCACAGCATCACGACTTCTGCAAACTGGATACATCGTATCCTCAAAGCCTCGTCACAGTTTCCGGAAGTAACGGCAGTGCGGCTTTGCTACCGGAGCAACAGGACAAAACGATTTCTTTCATGACTCACACTGTCACCAACTCAACCAGCTTACTCATCATGAAACCACTCAGTTTCGCTTTTCCGGTGCAGTTAAAATCCATAAATTGACCCAATGAAACTCATTCACGACAACTACCTGAAACAGGTTCAGTGAGAGAAAAAACAAAAAGAATATACATATATAGATAGATAGATAGATAGATAGATAGATAGAATTGTGTTACTCAAATTTCTTCTGATACAATCGTTACTCAAAGCAACGCACGTATTGGAAGCAACACTAGTACTGTGCATTGGTTCTACAGGCATGTTCCTCATCACTGGTGCCAATATCCTCAAACAAACAGCAGATTGCAATATCTTAGTGCAGAAATTGCTCCACCAGGTTAACATCTTACAGGTTCTCACCAGTTGGGCCTGATTCATGAACCCTGTGCAGTTCGATCAGCTGGTTGAATAGTTGCAGTCTGCAGCTTGTTGCCGCCGTAGAAACCCTTTTTACTTGTAAACAATCTCTCGAAACTGATGCCTTTGGAATCTAGAAATAAGAAGATTACTTAACAAACCCCACATTTAAAGATCTGTGAGAAATCCAACAAATAGATAGATGACTGGAGTATGTAAAAATAGGTGCGGTGAACTTTGAGGTTATACTATTTTAAACTTTAAAATAATGCTTTTATTTCACTACATGACATATATTCTTCCAAAGAATTTAGAATTCATGAATGCAAAATTTAAATATCAATTTTTAAAAAGATAAATATGGAAAGGAATTTTTTATGTATATGCAAAGTAAGTCTTATTAGGATATGATGATTTTAAAGAAAATCTAGTATTATATTTAATGAATGCAAATTGATTTTATTCCACACTTCACTCAAGGATTATTTTATCTCTTTTTTAAAAAAATTGGAATATTTTTTATGGTTTTTTTATGTTCTTTCACAAAATTTCATATTATTATTGATGCTTTGATTTGCATAAGTTAGATACTATATTCTTAATAATAAAAAAAATCTAACATACAATTATATTACTTGTAAGCTGCTAAAGAAAATAAAATACTAATAATAAAATATTTTTTATTATTTTTCTATTTTATCTTTATATCAATATATATAGGAATATTTTTATAATATCTTTATACTATATATTAAGATTCATTTATTTTTTATATTATACTTCTAAATTTATATTATATATTATACTTCTAAATTCACAAGCTTGTTTTTAATTACTTTTTTTACTTAACTTATCATTCCAAATATTTAATTTAAAGACAATTCATACCTACAACCATATTCTATACTTAGCATGATTCTATAAAAAATATCAATATATTAAAAATAATTTATATTTATATATCTAATTTTAAAAATATTAAAACTCAAATAAAATCATATAAAAGTTTAGCAACAAATACGATTTGTACTTGATGGCACATTACTCCTAAATTCTTTGTGTATAATAAGAGAAAACAATATTAATATTGAAGCTTTAGTTTTAACAAGTATTTTAAAAAACTAGAACTCACTATAAATTTTTAACTCTTCATACTATGATCTAGTAATTTAGGCTCCTAAAATTTTATTAAGTCGTCCAATTTATAATAAAATAATAATAATAATAATAATAATAATAATAATAATTTTAAAAATATATGAATAATCAAAGTAAGCAATAATTTTTTTCAACTTTTTTTGCATAAAATCAAGTAAATTGTTAGTTTGTTTAATTTTGATTTTAATTTTCTTTGTACAATTTGAAAATTAATAGCATCTTCAAAAATCTACATTAAGTATCTACTTTAAATAAATTAAATATCTACATCTTGTTAAAAAGAACATAAGACTTAGAATTAATTTTTTTTTAAATGATTTCGTAATTGCATACTCTCACATCTTATATTTAATTTATTTATAAATCTATAATATCTTTAATAAATTTAAAAATAATAAATGGTCTTAATTTATTTATTCGATTACAATCTATTATGCTTTTCAAC